TATTAAATACTTATTATAGTAGTATTATTTTTGAAAATAATGAAATTAATATATGCAAAAGATTTTCATCTTTTAGATGTGTTGATTTGCCACATTTTTAGAGGAAATTTAATGTTCTTAATAAAGAGAATTGCTATTTTTTCAATTAACATACATGCTGAATGGTATATAAAACTAGGAAACTAGCCAAAAGTCAGTTTTTTTTATATTATAAAATTTTTATCGCCTAGGTGACTAGGCGCCCCAGTGTCGCCCAGAATCGCCTAGACACTTTGAAAACTATGATCTAAAACTAAAATGCCAATCAATAAACTTCTTGCCAACTCCCAACAACAAATCAGTAGAAACTGCTTTCCAAAAATTGCACTTCACAACTAGCTTCTATATTTTCTCTCGATAGGTCTCACAACTAACTTCTATCCTTCTTTATAATAAATCTTATCCTCTGATATGACCCTCATCCTAATGATATAGCTATCCTTTCGCCTTATTAATCTTCTTCTTCCTAGAACATCCATATTCCTTCCTTCTTCCCTCAATCTCACTTAGATTTTAAGGTGACATTTGGTTTGTTAATAATTCTATGGTAAGTTACTTACCAAGAAGTAACTTATCACATAAGTTACCTATAATCAGCCATATTTTTTTTGCATCACCTAATTTACTTAAACTTATCAAAGTTGTTTTATAGATGGAAAGACAAAGTGTTTTACTTTTCTACTGATGGTCAGTGAATATCAGTAGAAAAGTTATGTGGCGAACAAAGTACCTCCAGGTGATTTTGTTCTCTCTCTCTCTCTTCCTTTTTCAATTCCCACAACCACATCTGAGGCCCTTTGGCCAATGCATTCCTACCATTTTCACCTCTCCTTACCCCCACTTCCATCATGGAAAACCCTACCACTCTTCTTATCCCATAGTCCTCTATTCTCATCCCAGCACACCTTGATCCCTATAGACCTCTTTCTTTTTCTTATCACTCCCCCTCGACTTCTTATGGCAATCCCATAGTATTCTAGTCCCATCTCAACTTCCCAATATAACCTCAATAATCCTTTTCTCCGTTTTGTACCTCCTTCCTTAAAGTATCCTCTAAACCGTTGCACTGGATTTGAAGATGAAGGGAGAAAGAGGGAAAAAACCCCTGCTGTATCAGTCATAGGTGTGTCCCTTGATGATGTAGGACCAGCTCAGTTCTAGTCCTTAGAGAATGTTGAATGGTCTTCTTGATCAGAGTTTTATGGCTGTCAATGGCTGTAATGGCTTCTTGAAGGAATAAGAGAGAAAATAGGGAGAGAAAGAAGAGAGAAAATACCTGGAATCACTCACAGGGTGCCTAGAATCACTATAGGGCATG